GGTTGGGATGATTACATCGAAAGCGCGGAATCAATTTATCGAAAGCAGCTTGAATCCATTGAACTCAGTTTACAAAGTCTCGCGTCAAAAGCGGTTGAATTGGTAAGAGAAGATCCAGGGTTAGCGCACACTGACCCGTGGCTAAAACAGTTGAATTGGGCGGCTGCACCTCCGAAATCCAAAAAGCTTCCCGGTTTCCCACAATGGTATCGTGACCTTTACAACTCCAAGTCGGGAAAATTCAAGATTACTCCAAACTGTAGAATCACACCTCTTTTGTTGAGATTAAAATGGGAGGGATATCCATTATTTTACTCCAAGACTCACGGATGGACTTACCGAGTTCCTAATAATGATGATAAATATCAAACCAAAGCGAAACCGTGCAAATTTGATAAACCGTCAAATGTTGAGACTGGAGATAATCTTGAGAATGCTTCTGCAACAAAAAATTACGAGGAACAATTCTATAACGACGACGAAGGAACGTATTATCGAATTCCACATAAGGATGGCGAGAATGCACGTTGCATGTCTCCGTTATCGAAAAATTACATCACCTCATTTGAAGAAGGGATATTGTCTTCAGAATACGAAGAAGCCAGATCAGCATTACAGATGAACGCGGCTTGTTCTTATTGGGTGAGCTCTCGTAAACGAATAAAGAATCAAATGGTTGTATACCAAGATCACCCGGAAATCAAAGACATTGGATTTGGTTTGGATAATGAAAAACTGGTGGGCATAATCTTACCACAAACATTGGCAATGGGAACCGTGACTCGTCGCGCCGTGGAAAACACCTGGATGACGGCAAGCAATCCCAAGGAAAATAGGATAGGATCAGAACTCAAGGCGATGATCCAACCACCGAAGGGATATAAAATTGTTGGCGCAGATGTGGATTTGGAAGAATTGTGGATATCGAGTTTGATCGGTGACTCTCAATTCGGATTTCACGGAGCGACTGCCATGGGATGGATGACGCTTCAAGGGACAAAGGCAGCCGAGACTGACTTGCATTCGCGTACTGCAAAGATACTAAATATTTCTCGTTCGGAAGCAAAAATCTTTAATTATGGTCGAATTTACGGCGCCGGACTTAAATTCGCCATCCAATTACTGAAACAGTTTAACAAAGATATCGAAACAGAAGAAGCAAAAGATCTCGCAACCGAGTTATATTTCAAAACAAAGGGTAAGAGGTTTGAATCACTTTGGTATGGTGGCAGTGAAAGTTACATGTTCAATAGATTGGAAGATATTGCAAATGATGATCTTCCAAAAACACCGGTTCTGAAATGTGGTATCACCGAAGCACTGAGGTCCACTCGAGGATTCATGACATCACGTGTCAATTGGGTTGTACAATCATCTGGAGTGGATTACCTGCATCTGCTTTTGGTATCCGTGCATTATTTGTTGGAAAAGTATAAGATTGACGCGCGTTTCATGTTATCGGTTCACGATGAGGTAAGATTTCTCGTGAAAGAGCAAGACAAAGAAAGGATGGTATTGGCACTTCAAATAAGTAGTCTTTGGACAAGAGCGATGTTTAGTTACATGTTGGGAATCAAAGATTTGCCTCTAGTAAGTGTACTCCAT